AGGTGGCTGGCTGTTGTTCTTCCCGGGTCTCTTCCAGGCCCCTCTCGCGGTGGAACCCCGTCTGACGGCGGCGTTCTCGCGCTGTTGCTGCATCACTCTCCATACTTTATACTTCTAAGAATATGAATTCATGCCACACCATAGCTTGGGTTGCATAAGAGTTGAATGAATGTTTTTAAAAGATCCTTTTAATAAGTATGACTCATGTGTTAAGATATTAAAAGTTCAATGTAAAATTTACTTCTTTAGTTAAGAAGTAATGCTTTTCTCTCGTTACCTGTTTCAGATTGCACAATCAGATAGTCCAAAAGAAGACAAGAAACATAGAGAAAAGAGAGTACATAAGGAACCAGAAATTGACTCACTTGAATACAGAGAGCATAAGTATAAGGATCTGGACAGTGACACAAAGTATAAAGAAAGGACAACTGAAAGAGATGCTCACGTGTCTTATGAAAACCCTCGAGGGGAGAAGGAGCGAGAAAAACACAGGGAGAGAAGAAAAGATGCAAAAGATCGGGAAACAGAGAAACATAAAGAGAAACATCGAGAACAAAATACAGACAAATCTCACAGTAGAGGAAAAGACAGAGAAAAAGAAAAAGAGAGGAAAGCAAGGAAGGAAGAACTGAAGCCGACTACTGCCTTTCATAATCTCCTGGGGCGTGAGTTACGGGAAAAGCATCTTCTGGAAAAAGAAAAGAAGACACGCTCAGGTATGTTGTTTTGGTTAACTGGCTACATCTACACTTTTCTATTAAATATGTCTTTTTATTAGTTTATACTAGGTGTTGTTGTTATGTGCCGTTGAGTACCACATAGCGACCCTATGTGCAATAGCTCTGAACCCTGCCCTATCCTGAGTCAATCTCACTGATTCTGACACAGCTAGCCTCATTACCCCTATAGTCACTCTGTCAGTCCTCATCCAAAGTCTTCTACTACTGCATGTCCCTCCATTCTTCTAGGCATGATGTCCTTCTTGAAGGAGGGGCTCTCCTGGCCACATGCCCAAAGTATGTCAGGGGCAGAGTTTGAAAATCCTTGTCTCTAG